AAGTAAAAAAGGGTAAAAAAAATGGTCCGGTTTGAGCCAAGTTGCCAGACTTGTCATCAATTATTAATAAAAAAAAACACTTACGTATAAAATAGTTGATCTTCCAACAGCCTATGTATGCATGTGTGTACGTATTTATGTATGTATTTTTACTCACTTTTAGAAAGGCAGTCAACAGGCTTATAACTTGGGTAAAAATTTGCGCATGCGTTACTATCGCTTATTGCCGCCCAACGGTGTCTACACGCAGCAGCAGGTGCACGCACTAAGCTCAGCAGCCGAACGTTGTGTTATGAGCGCGCAAAGCGTTTTGGCAGGATTTATGCCCCCTCTGGACCACAACAATGTTTTAGTGAGTGCTTTGTCAATTGTTATAAATTCACATTTCACCACCACCCTCTTTTATTTAGCCAATTGCATGGCAACCAGCAGCTGTGAACATAATTCCACGCAGTGAAGATACGGTAGGTTATATTTAAGAAAAATCTAAGTAAGAGAAATATATTTCGCTGACATTTTTCTGAGTGTACATAATAGATAAGTACGTAATTAGTAAAAAAGACAAGCAAAATCTTCAAGAGCACATTGTGGTTTTGAAACCTTGTTAATAAAAAGGTGTCTAATGAAATCGATACAAATAAAATCGCGCACAGAAATGTATTTATAGGTATACACAAGGTGTATTAAACGAGGTGTGATTGACAACTCAGGTACGCTCTCTTTTAAGGTAATATCATGCCAAAAAATATAAACAAGCGATTCAAAATGCATAAAAAGTTTCTTCAATTTGACTTTATAGGATGGTTCTTCTAAGATCAATGCCACTAAGATCAATCACACTTTGTTGAATACACCGCAAAGGTCAAAATAAATCGTACCATAAGGAAGTTTTTTCAAATTGGGAAATTGGGTGAAGTATTGCATGTGTTATTAAGTGAATTCACTTTTGGCGTTTTAATAAATCAGTAAAAGCATATCCTTAAAAAATAATTTTGCACTTGAATTATCTATAACTTAACAATGCTCAATTTAATGCAAACAACTGTTTATTTTTTCAATCCCTAAATATGCTTTCGACCTCCTTATTCAGGTGCGTTTAAACGAATATGTACCGGTTTCGAGTAAAAAAATTTACAGTACATTGATTTAAATATTACAACAGCAACTGCTGATAGCAGTTAGTTAGAATTTGTTATGAGTAATCCACTGAGAAAGGAGAGGCAAGGTAGCAAAATTAAAATTAAGAGTGCGTTTATAGGAATGTGTACCACTGTACCAACTGTCCAGAAAACATACGGACTGACGATTACCAAACCGACGACTATTTTTATGATAATCGGTACTATTTTCTTTGAAATTAAAATTAAATTGTTTTGTAAAAGTTGCTAAATACATTTAATATTTGTATTAACTTAGGAGCGCTACACTTGCCAAAAATGTGTGTAAACCATTGGAGAATAAAAGTTGAAGAACTAAATGGCATTGCATATATTATATGTCACTATTTACCTGTTGTATCTTATTTATGTATAAATAATTATTATTGGTACAATTCCACTCAACTAACTGTTTCTTTACGTTTACATAGCTCTTGGCACAGAAGAAGCCATGCCTGAAATATGACACAATTCTGCAAAAGTTATATAAAAATCCATCACCCGACGTACGGCAGCTTAACGAAGAAAATGCAGACTTATTTAAATTGCTTACGAAACACTCGGGCAAGGTGGGTATTATAAGCTCAATATACATACATATCTACATACGTACATATATACATATTTACATACTAAATATGTATGAGCTGTGTAGATACAACCCAGTAGAAATAAGTTGCTTGCATACATGGAAGAGTGTTAACGATTCTAGCGACCTGCAAGCGAACGTACGTTGTTGTTCTTTTAAGTATAATACGAAAATAGAAGGTAGTTTCACTCAATGATTTTAGTCGCAATGTTATCGATTTGACTTTTGCTGGCATT